AAAGAGTATGTCACGGCAAACAAGAGTAGTCAGATCCGAGAGGAATTAACTGACCGAATGCAAATACCGCCGGCAAAGCCAGATTTGGCCGACAGGAAGAGAAAAGGCTCTGATGAGACTGACGGATCATTCGAAATAGGAGCATTGGAGCACTGTAGCTCTGTCTCGAGGAAGAGGAAGACAAGAGGAATTTTCACGGGGAGAGGGGGGAAGGACGACAATGGTGACCTGCAGTTTGATCTTCAACTACCCATTGATGAGTTTACTTCCTCGAAGAGGAAGGGAAAGAAGAAAACATGGGCTGATGCTGGTTCCCCTATGATGGAAACCTCGGAAACTCCTAAAGTAGCGATAGAAACGGAGGTGGGAACCAAGCCGCAACAGAAGAAGCCATTTGTGTTAATAACACCGACTTCTCACACGGGTTTCTCTTTCTCGACCATACATCTTCTCTCGGCAGTGCGTGTGGCAATGATAAGCCCTCCTCCAGACGAAGATTCATTAGACAATGGCAGACCTAGACCTGATCAGAACGGAGGGCATGAAGCTGGGGAGAACAGGATTTCTGTTTCAAAGGATATGGATAGTAATGGGAAAGGGGATTTCCCGCCCTTAACTGTGCAGGAGATCGTTAGCCGTGTTAGGTCAAACCCAGGAGATCCTTGCATCCTGGAGACTCAAGAACCGATTCAAGATTTGATTAGGGGGGTTCTGAAGATTTTTTCGTCCAAGACTTCGCCTTTAGGGGCAAAGGGTTGGAAGCCGCTTGTATTATACGACAAGCCCGCGAAAAGCTGGAATTGGATTGGCCCTTTTCCTCATGCTACGTCCGATCATGAGACTTCCGAGGAGGTAACGTCGCCTGAAGCTTGGGGTCTTCCGCACAAGATGCTCGTCAAGTTGGTCGATTGTTTCGCAAATTGGCTGAAAAATGGGCAGGAGACTCTTCAGCAAATAGGAAGCCTTCCTGGACCGCCGTTATCGCTCATGCAGTGCAATCTCGACGAGAAAGAACGGTTCAAAGACCTGAGAGCCCAGAAGAGCCTAAGCACTATCAACCCGAGTTCCGAAGAAGCCAGAACTTATTTCCGCAAGGAGGAATTCCTCAGATACTCAATTCCCGACAGAGCCTTTGCATACACGGCAGCCGACGGTAAAAAATCGATCGTTGCTCCTCTGAGAAGAGGAGGGGGGAAGCCGACCTCGAAAGCCCGGGACCATTTCATGCTGAAACGAGACAGACCGCCGCATGTAACGATCCTGTGTCTGGTCCGAGACTCGGCAGCTAGATTGCCGGGGAGTATCGGGACGAGAGCGGACGTTTGTACGCTGATAAGAGACTCTCAGTACATCGTGGAGGATGTGACAGACGGGCAAGTGAATCAAGTTGTGAGCGGGGCTTTGGATCGACTGCACTACGAGCGAGATCCGTGCGTGCAGTTCGACTCGGATCGGAAACTGTGGGTGTATCTGCACAGAGAGAGAGAAGAGGAAGATTTCGAAGATGATGGAACTTCATCCACCAAGAAATGGAAGAGGCCGAAGAAGGAAGAAGAAGAAGAAGAAGAAGAAGCCGCAGAGCAACCCGACCAAGGAGCAGTGACTGAGGTTGCGGCCATGGACGAAGACAAAGGAGCAGAGGTTCTCCGTAATGAAACGGGACAAGATGCAGCAGAGAATGTCTCGTTTCAGACATCGAATCCCGTTGAAGATAACAACACGTTTCTCTGCCAGGAGAATTCCGCAGATGATGGCTTTGATTGATCGAACTAAGCCCAGTGTCCGTACGCTTCAATCTGATAACTTCTTCATTCACTCTCCAGAAAACCCTTTCCGGATTATAATCTTGCATATACGGGCCCACCTCTGGTTTGTTCTTGAATACTATGATTTTTTCTCTCGATATATATTTTTTGTGTATATATATAGCATTCCACGTGTTGTTTGAATTGTATGACTGTATATGTATTTCTTTTTCATTTGATTATATTGCACTATGGTACTGTTGGATGGAAATCATACAAAAAAAAAATAGGAAACAAGTATATATAAATATATGAGAAAATCTAATATGTTAAAATTTCAAATTAATATATAAACTTTAATTTCCAATATGCCTTGTTGCGCCTCAACACCATTGTATCTTTTTTAATAGATTTTTGTAAATTCCGTGAAATTTTTTGTTTATTTTTGTGATAATTTTTAAATTTGTGTATTATTCTTTTTTTTTTCATAAGAATTTGTGTATTATTCTGATAAAGGTAACAAATTTATATATACATATGATATACAAAGAGAATCTCAGTTTCCTAGGGTTGGGGTTTATCCGTTTCTGTCAGAATCTCCACCGTCGTCGACTCTTCCTACGTCCGATCGGATCTCGATTTCATCGTGTCCTCATGAATCCACCACTTTAAATAGATTCCTCAGCCATCAGCCACTCCTCCGCCGCCGCCGGTAGTAAGTTCGTCGTCGAGCCAAGTGTTAGTATTGGATCTTTCTAATCTCTGACTTGGTCGTATCCGATGTTCTGTTCTTCGAGTAATGTGAACTTTGATTTGTGTTTTCTGTTTGGTGTCTGATTCGGCGAAAATTTTCAGCTCGTTTGAATTGGTAATACTTTCAGCTGTATCCATCCATGGGTGTCTGATCATACGAACACATCTTGTTCTTTGCAGGTTTAAGCGACTCTTGTCCGATTATCCCGCGGATTCACTCTCACTTTTGATCCGTCTTGGAAAGTAGTTCGGATGGGTTCTGTCATGAGCTTGAATTGTTCTTCCAGGAGTAGGACGCCTATTCTAAACGAGGGAAGCTCGAACGAATCGTGCAAACGGCAAAAAATATGTTCATCTTATGAAGGGGAGAACAATAGATTGATTCCCCGTCTTCCTGATGAGCTTTCGATACAGATACTCGCTAGGGTTCCCAGAATTTGCTATTTCAATGCGAGGTTGGTTTCTCGGAAGTGGAAATCTGCTTTCACGAGCTCTGAGTTGTATTGTTTGAGACAAGAACTAGGAAAAACCGAGGAGTGGCTCTATGTCCTGACGAAAGATCAAGAGAATGTGTTTCTGTGGCACGCTTTAGATCCCGTGTCTGCTAAATGGCAGAGATTGCCTCCAATGCCGGATATTGTTTGTGAAGAAGAATCTAGAAGAAGCTTTTCGGGCTTGTGGAATGTGGTCAGCCCGAGAATGAAAGTCGCTGAGATCCTTAGAAGTTGGTTTGGTAGAAAGGATCGGCCAGAGAAATTACCCTTTTGTGGGTGTGCTTTCGGGGCCGTTGATGGGTGCCTCTACGTCCTTGGCGGGTTATCCAAATCTTGTACTGCGAATTCCGTTTTACGGTTTGATCCAGTTCTGAACAAGTGGAACGAAGTGAGTCCAATGTTGGAAAGTCGGGCATATTCTAAAACGGGCATACTTAATAACAAACTATATGTCGTGGGAGGGATCAATCATGGGCGAGGAGGGTTTTCTCCTCTTCGGTCAGCTGAAGTTTATGACCCGAGTGCGAATGCATGGTCAGAGGTTCCTAGTATGCCTTTCTCGAAGGCTCAAGTCTTACCAAATGCATTTCTGGCCGGATTATTGAAGCCTGTAGCCACCGGGATGAGTTCTTACAATGGTAGGTTATGTGTTCCTCAGAGTCTGTACTCTTGGCCGTTCTACGTTGATATCGGAGGAGAGGTTTATGAACCGGAGACGAATTCATGGATTGAAATGCCGATAGGTATGGGTGAAGGCTGGCCTGCTAGGCAAGCTGGGACGAAACTGAGTGTCGTAGTGGACGGCGAGTTGTACGGGTTTGATCCTCCTCCTTCTTCGATGGAGAGCGGGAATATAAAGGTGTATGATCAAAAGGAAGATACGTGGAAAGTTGTCATCAGGGAAGTCCCTGTTTCCGACTTACCACAGTCGGAATCTCCTTATATACTTGCCGGATTTCATGGAAAACTTCATTTCATTACCCGAGATTTCAACGGCAAGATCACGGTTTTACGGGCAGACTTGCGTGAGAGCTCGAGCTCTCCATCATCTGGTCCCTACCCTTTTGCCGGATCGCGCTCTTTCCGTGAAAAGACCGATCTGCCCAACACGACGGACACAGTTGTCTGGAAAGTGATTGCGGCCAAGGATTTCGGTGCTGCTGAACTCGTCAGCTGTCAAGTTATAGATTTGTAAAAAAAAAAAACATCTGGTAGCCACGGTCTGGTAAGTTGTTGATTCTCTACACTTTTGGCTTTAGGGTTCCCCGTATGTGATTATTACATCATGATTTGTGAAGCTATTATAAATTGCATATGCATCGTCTTGATGGCCCTGCAGTGATGTTTTACCTCGTCTTACATGGTTTATCATACGCTGAATTCTTGTCCGTTGCCTAAATTAACAGATAAATGAAAATAATAATAATAATAATAATAATAATAATAAAAAACCCACCGGATTTTGAACCGGTGACCTCCTTCTGATATGCAGTCAAACGAGCTATGTACCCAAAATTGATATACCATTTTCCATATTAATGGTAACGGCATACGATATTGGTATATTTAAGGCATAACAATTATGCAGTGGATGAAGAACGAAATCGACCAAAGCATATTTCCTTTGTCTCGTCAACCCCCAATTGTTATAAAACTGCCATAACCTGGTCCTATCTTTAGTATATCAACGGCAACGACGTACCATTTTACTGTATTAGGTCACAACAACCATACAGTGGATGAAAACAAACTCCCCCTAAGCATTATTTCCTCTCTCTTATCAGCCGAGGGCGCACCATATTCCCAAGGACCAGATGGTTGTCAAAGGCAAGCACAGCTACAATTATCCCACACGAGGAAAACCCGCGAAGTTATAAAACATTGTCCCTGAAATCCGATGAAGAAAGAACTAAACAAAAGACTTAGGGCTTTCAAAAATTTAAGGAATGAATCAGAGAAATTTGAACCAAAGGAACAATAAGATAAAGCCCAGAAGAGATCAAATCTTAACACCTTGATCCATTGTATATTGGGCATCTTTATATATTGGGGCCTCAAATCCCTCTTTTTCTGAAGTGGGACACTCATCAACACCTTTCTCTTAAGACAGCAACGTCCACGTTGTTGGACTAAATCTGGTCGGTCACAGCTTCTCGATCGATAGAGGCTTCTTAGTCCATCCCAACCTTTTCTCTCCTGAATGTTTCTCTCCCGACCGTTCCATAACCACCGAGTCGACCGCATATTCGTAGGAGAACGACCCGTCAAAGACCCACCGAAAAATAGAGTTGGGTTCTGATACCAATCTGATATCGAGTTTAGGTGAAAAGACTAGTTTTTAAGTACGAGGTTTGACCACACTTATCATCAATCCACAGTTTAAGAACTCCACCCCCTACTGCAACCACTCACACTCATAACAAGACAGCTTAATTATCAAGACACATGGACAAAGGAACATTTGATCATCAGACCCTTTTCTCCATCCGTATTGACAATGGCGGAGAACAACAATAGCAGAAATGACCATTAAAAAAAAACCTAATCGCAAACATTTCCATATGTTGTATAAAACAATAAATCAAACTGTAGTCTACAAAAAAAATCACCAGTCACCACTAACACAGATCTCTTCTCCAGGAAAACGCTCCCTTTCAAGCGATAATTAGATGGCTTCACATGCCAAACGACCAACATCATATGCTCAGCAATATGATCACAAAGAAGATGAATAAGCCTGGTTGGTAATTGCTTCAAAGTTACCAGGAAAATACCTTCCAATACTCTGGCAGTTTCTGCCATACCAATCATAACAGCAACATCATTTAACTATAGGAACAATAAGAAATGGTTCAAACCAAATCTTCTTCAACAGAATTGTATCGATAAACAGTGACAGAAATTTTCAAAAAGGGTCTTAAACAGTAATGACATAATCAGCGGAGAAGAAAGATTTGAGTCTCAACACACGAATCGATTTTAGAGCAGTAATTACAGCACCATAAAATTTGAAACTAGCAAAGAAATTCAGCGGTACAACCCCTAACCCTAATTTAGTTCTCCAAATCTTCAAACCACAAGGCAAAACCTAGGTACAGAAACCCTAATTCACAGTTCAAGAGCTAGTGAATTTTGTGACGGCCTTGGTACCCTCGGAAACGGCGTGTTTCGCGAGTTCTCCGGGAAGAACAAGTCTGACGGCGGTCTGAATTTCACGGGATGTGATTGTGGGCTTCTTGTTGTACCTGGCTAGCCTTGAAGCCTCCTGAGCGAGCTTCTCGAAGATGTCGTTGATGAAGCTGTTCATGATCCCCATGGCCTTACTGGAGATTCCGAACATCATATGCTCAGCAATATGATCACAAAGAAGATGAATAAGCCTGGTTGGTAATTGCTTCAAAGTTACCAGGAAAATACCTTCCAATACTCTGGCAGTTTCTGCCATACCAATCATAACAGCAACATCATTTAACTATAGGAACAATAAGAAATGGTTCAAACCAAATCTTCTTCAACAGAATTGTATCGATAAACAGTGACAGAAATTTTCAAAAAGGGTCTTAAACAGTAATGACATAATCAGCGGAGAAGAAAGATTTGAGTCTCAACACACGAATCGATTTTAGAGCAGTAATTACAGCACCATAAAATTTGAAACTAGCAAAGAAATTCAGCGGTACAACCCCTAACCCTAATTTAGTTCTCCAAATCTTCAAACCACAAGGCAAAACCTAGGTACAGAAACCCTAATTCACAGTTCAAGAGCTAGTGAATTTTGTGACGGCCTTGGTACCCTCGGAAACGGCGTGTTTCGCGAGTTCTCCGGGAAGAACAAGTCTGACGGCGGTCTGAATTTCACGGGATGTGATTGTGGGCTTCTTGTTGTACCTGGCTAGCCTTGAAGCCTCCTGAGCGAGCTTCTCGAAGATGTCGTTGATGAAGCTGTTCATAATCCCCATGGCCTTGCTCGAAATTCCGATGTCAGGATGAACCTGCTTCAAAACTTTGAAGATGTAGATCTTGTAGGTCTCGACACTCTTCTTCTTCATCTTCTTCTTCTTGTCGCCACCGGCACCGGCCTCCTTCGGCAACTTCTTCCCAGCCTTCGGCTTCTTCTCCGCCGGAGCCTTCTCGGCCTTTGGCTTCTCCTCGGCAGGCTTCTTCTCGGCGGGTTTCTTCTCTGCTTTCGGCGCCATGGTCGCTTTCACTCGACTTTTCTCAGAAAACAAACCAAGCCCTAATAGAAACAAAATAATGAAATGCTACAACACCGAGTTCTCTTTTTATAGATGTCTAAGAATTGGATGATTGGATATTAGTCGGAGACAAGGATCCCTGACCTGTGATATCTTAACCGTTAAATTATGCATTCCAATGGGTAGTAATCGACGGTGCCTATGAAATCTTAAAAGGTCAGTGATTACACGTGGCAGACTTATATTGGTCAGTGAAAATTTCCATTCCCGCCACCGCCATTTCCTTAAAATTTTTCACAGGACCTGTCTCTTAACGGGCCTTTCTGAGCCCAACTAAAATTGGGCTTTCTACGTGAGTCCTCAACATATCCGACCCGACCCGAACGTCCGGGTTCACCGGCATCGGTTCGTAGAATCATGGATCAGTTCGTCTTCACTGAAAGTCTCTTGGCGGTGAGAACTCTTAGATGAGACTCCCTCGCACGAATCGGCCGCTTTCAAGCCCTGATTTCGGCCATAGCTGCAAAAATGTGAGATCTTCGGGCAAATTCGCTTCTATAGACGATGAGAAAACTGAAGATTCGCGTCTCGTTTCTGCCCTCAAGAGCATCGTGCGGGGAAAGCAGAGCTGGAACTTCGCGTTGGATGGCGCGTTCGCGTCGAGCAAGTTGAAGCATCACCATGTGGAAGAGGTTCTAATCGGAACCCTTGATAATCCCAGATTGGCTCTGAGGTTCTTCAATTTCCTCGGTCTGCATCGTGGATTCGACCACTCCACGGCGTCGTTTTGCATATTGATCCACTCTCTCGTGCAAGCTAATCTCTTCTGGCCTGCTTCGTCACTGTTGCAGACCCTTCTGCTTCGTGAGTTGAAGCCAAATCAGGTTTTTGATTCGCTTTTCAGTTGTTATGAGAAATGTAGGTTTAGTTCAGTCTCGGCTTTTGATTTGTTGATTCAGAGTTATGTACAGAATAAGAGAGTCTGTGACGGCCTTTTGGTGTTTAGGCTCATGATAAAGGCCAGTCTGTTGCCGGAAGTGAGAACTCTGAGCACACTCTTGCACGGATTAGTAAAATTTAGGCATTTTGGTTTGGCTTTGGAGTTATACGATGCCATTCTCGAAGTGGGCATTCAACCTAATGTATACATTTTCACGGGAGTGATACGAAGCTTGTGTGAGTTGAAAGATCTCTCCCGAGCAAGAGAAATGATTTCGAGTATGGAAGCAACTGGATGTGATGTGAATATGGTGCCATATAATGTGTTGATAAACGGATTTTGCAAGAACCATAAGGTCTGGGAGGCTGTTGACATAAAGAACAGTTTGGCAAGGAAAGGATTGAAACCAGATGTTGTGACATATTGCACATTAGTCCTTGGGTTATGCAAAGTGCAAGAATTTGAGGTCGGCTTGCAGATGATGCATGAAATGTTACAGTCGGGGTTTGCTCCTAGAGAAGCTGCGGTTTCGAGTTTGGTTGAAGGGTTAAGAAGGAGCGGAAAGATCAAAGAGGCTCTTGACATGGTTAAAACGGTGGCGGAATTTGGTGTGTCACCTAATCTATTCGTGTACAACACATTGCTTGACTCGTTGTGCAAAGATCGAGAATTCGATGAAGCGGAGTTGCTATTTGATAAAATGGGAGAGATGGGTTTGTGTCCTAATGATGTTACCTATTCAATTTTGATAGATTCGTTATGCAGGAGAGGCAAAGTGGATATGGCTGTTAGCTTTCTGGGCAAGATGATCGAATCAGGTCTAAAACCGACCGTCTATCCATACAATTCTTTGATTAATGGGTACTGCAAATTGGGCAACATCCGTGCAGCTGAGTATTTCATGTCTCAGATGAAAGATAAAGAACTGGAGCTAACAGTGGTAACTTACACATCATTGATGAGTGGATATTGCAGCACAGGGGAACACCATAAGGCTATTAGGCTCTATTATGAGATGAAAGGAAAAGGTATAGCACCGAGTATTTACACCTTCACCACGCTTATATCAGGCTTTTGCCGTGCTGGAATGATGCAAGATGCTGTAAAACTGTTTAAAGCAATGTCGGAATGGAACATTGAGCCCAATAGGGTGACTTATAATGTCATGATCGAAGGTTATTGCGGTAAAGGAGACACAGCTAGAGCCTTTGAGTTGTACGATGAGATGATAAAGAAATCTCTTGTACCTGATACATATACCTATAGATCTCTTATTGGTGGACTATGTTCTTCAGGTAGGGCTTCTGAGGCCAAAGAGTTCGTGGATGACCTTCATAGGAGGAACCGTGAGCTAAACGAGATATGTTATAGTGTGTTACTACACGGGTTTTGCAGAGAAGGAAGATTAGAGGAAGCATTAGGAATTTGTCATGAGATGGTAGACAGAGGGGTGGATCTGGATCTCGTCTGCTATGGTGTGCTTATAGACGGAAGTTTAAAACACCTAGACAGAAAGATGTTTCTCGGCCTTCTAAAGGAGATGCACGATAGAGGATTGAAACCTGATCACGTAATCTATACGAGTATGATTGACGCGAAGTCCAAAGCCGGGGATTTGGAGGAAGCGTTAGGGTTATGGGATGTGATGACGAGTGAAGGGTGTGTTCCTAATGAAGTGACATACACAGCTCTCATCAACGGGTTGTGTAAAGCGGGATTTGTATCAGAAGCCGAGATTCTCTGCCGGGAAATGCAGACTGGCAGTTCAGTTCCAGTTCCTAACCAAGTGACATATGGGTGTTTCCTCGATATTCTTACCCGGGAAGAAGGCAACATGCAGAAGGCTATGGAGCTTCATAATGCAATGGTGAAAGGGCTTCTAGGCAACACAGTGACATACAACATGCTGATCCGTGGTTTTTGCAGGCAGGGAAGATTGGACGAAGCCTCTGAGCTCATGGACAGGATGATAGAGAACGGTATTAGCCCGGACTGTATAACTTATTCGACCATGATTTACGAGCATTGTAGAGAGAATAATTTGAAGAGAGCGGTGGAATTGTGGGAAACGATGACAAAGAAGGGCGTAAAGCCGGATAGAGTAGCGTATAATGTTCTGATATACGGTTGCTGTGTATCAGGAGAGACTGATAAGGCAGTTGAGTTGAGGAATGAGATGTTGAGACAAAACTTGAAGCCTAACTCATAAATTATACCCTTTTGTTTGTTTTGAGGATGGCCTTCTTCACCATGTCTCTATTTTTCTGCAAAGGAAATGGACAATCAGGAGTGACTGGTTTCGGGAAGGTTTTCGGTTCAATTATAATAGCAGGTACGGGTAATTCCAGTTTTGAAGAACTATAGCCGAATGGTTTATCTATCTTAAATCCGTTTGGTAAGGTTATATATACAAAATATTTATATCCAAAATGATAATCAAAATTAATTCGGGTACGATTATAACTATAAATATCCAAGTGAAGACTCTCATTTGGAGAAAAAGAGAGATTGGTCAAGATAAAATTCTAGGATTAAAAATTTTAGTATAACATATAATAGTTAACGTTAAAAACCAAACCGAAATAATCGAATCTAACCAATTAACAGAATAACCAAAGTTAAATCGATTTTAATTAGTTATTAATCCAGCAATAATTGAGCTGAACCCGGTTGGTTATTCAATATTTATAACCAATCGGTTATTTTAAAAAAAAAAACGAACCGGATCTTCAGGTTCTTTTTAATTGGTACGGCTTTTGAAAACATCGAGACTCATCTCTGTTGGGTCAGTAGCTTGAAGCTCTGCTTGAACCTGTCCTTGGAGCTGGCATAGATCATCTTGCTTCTCACCCTCGATGTGTCAGGAGACCTTTGCAAAGATCGGATAAAAGTTGGATTCTCTGAAAGGACGAAGAACGAGACTAAGGGCACCAGCAAAACAGTATGATTAATACCAGCGGTGAAGAAAATTTTGCTCTTCTGGCAGCTCTCTTCCGTGTCGAAGTCAAAATCGTAAATGGCATATCGGCATTCATCAGATGGCAGACGTGCCGCGAAATCATCGTACGTTCGGTTGGTTGGCCAACTTTCTCTACAACCACTTGCTTTTGCTGCTCCTCAATCTTTTTAAATTATGAAACGGTATGTCCTCTTTGCCTTCAGTTCCAAAAATCTTAGCTTGCAGTCATCATGAACATCCATTCCCGGCGCTGCATGGCCAACAACAATCAATTTTACAACCGTGGGTCATGCATTTAGAGAACGATGCAATTCAGATCTTAGCGATTTTATGAAACCCGCAATCTGCCAATCACAATGCAGCAGTAACTGGTATTTACTCATACAACCATCTCTAACTCTAATAACTTTGAAATAACAAGTAGAACAGATATCGACATTGTTAACAACAGTAGCAATACATAAGCAGCTCCTCTAACCTAGCAGTAACAGCATGTATACTAGTTACTCTAACATATATTCCAGAGACCCTAACATAAATTAGGACATGAACCCCACAATACGGAACACCACCTATTGGTCACAAGGTGTCGGATCATCAGCAGCATGCAAACAAGCCGGTGGATCAAATAACCAAATCTCACTTGGGGAAACTGTTCACAGGCAAGTAAGATCAACCCTAAATTCATATGAAGGTGACGAGAAATCACAAAACAGTACTAGGTTTCTCCAAATTTCATGATTAATTTACGCGTTGCAAATAAGCACGATGAGTTTCGAGTTTTTCTACAAGTATCCAGACCCTAGATGAGTTCCACCAATATCACAAAATACACAAGAATCCTTCTCCAGATCTAACCGGAGAAAACGACGAGCCAAAACCGAAATCCGAGTAATCAACACCCGATTCAAAACAGAACCAGCTGTAACTCAAAACCGAGAGTGTACGATTCAAATCGAGGAACCGGAAACGGATAAGACTAGAGAAATAGAGGGAAATACGCTCACCATGGCTGAGCCAGACTGGTTCGAGAGAAAATTGAAGTCGAGAGGAAGAAGATATTTCTTCGGGCGGCGAAAATCGAGGGAGAGGGGGACGGATTTCATATATTTCTATACGTTCAAATATTATTTAAAACTCTTTAATTTAAACATAAAAAATTGATTTAGCAATAATCATTTAAAAATAAAGTTGTATGGAAATGATTAGATGAATCTATGAGTCGTGTACTGTTTATAAATAGTCTGATCAAAGTCTGTGTAAGTATTTGACTCTAATTTAACCATATGAAGATTCTGATTTAAAAAAATCTGCAGAACGTAATTCTGAAGAGATCCCCAAAAAGAAATCTGGAGAACCATTTCTCAGATTCATTTAATTTCGAAATTGGATCTCGTAGATTCATCGAACATGGAACCGTCAAAAAATACATTGAGAGATTTCAATACCAACCCTAACTACACGCATACACAGCAACATCTACCAAAAGCCGAAGAATCTAATTCACGAGCTGGTGAATTTCGTCACGGCTTTGGTACCTTCGGAAACAGCGTGCTTCGCGAGCTCGCCGGGAAGAACAAGCCTGACGGCGGTCTGGATCTCGCGGGAGGTAATAGTAGGCTTCTTGTTGTACCTCGCGAGCCTCGAGGCCTCCTGAGCGAGTTTCTCGAAGATGTCGTTGATGAAGCTGTTCATTATCCCCATGGCCTTGCTCGAGATCCCGATGTCAGGATGAACCTGCTTCAGCACCTTGAAGATGTAGATCTTGTAAGTCTCGACGCTC